TGTCGAATAGTGATGAAGTGTATACAATTAGTAGAACTGAAATATGTTAATGTAATTACTTAATTAGCGCCTTATAGAAAATAATAATTTAAAAAATAATTAACAATATCAATTATATCTAATTTCAGCCTACACAATAACATCAAAGCGTGAAATAATAATAATATAGAAATAATAATATGCCATAATAGTAGTTAATTATTTGATATAAAAGAAGTTTAGGACTTAGAATAATGGCATGTTTGTGGGATAAATTGATATTAGGTTATTCTATTGTAATTACTAATATTTTAATTGAAGATAACTCAACTTTAATTATGACCATTTAATTTGTTAAATATAAATGATTGTAAAAACACTGTCTTCCGTTAAAAGAAAATAATATAGGAAATCCAAAACAAAGTTCCATGGCATTATTTTATATTATATTAGTAAGTGTGAGCCACCGTCTACGTGATAGAACTCCAATATGGTCGAATCAAATGTCACAAATACCAAAGTAATACTGGGATTACAAATGAATCCCAAATGGTAACCTCAGAATGGTTTACTAAGACAACCTCAATAGGATCCTTCCGATTGTTGCCACAGTGGCAATTAATAATTGACAAAGTACCTCGATGTCGCGGTGTTTAATATGTTCGGAAAAAAGTCACTTTCGCAAGGATCGGTCATAAGATGGGTGACCAAAAATTTATTATTTCAAGTACCTCCATCCTTCAGAAGGTACGTTAAGCCATTGATCCCGACTGCATGCCAGTCGTTAACACCCATTAATCCACACTGGGCCCTCAGAGTGGAATGTGGCCCCTTTTCCTTATCTGATTCCATCCATATGATGATGTACCTTTTAGACTGTTTTATATACCTACTTAAAACTATATTTTTGAAAAAAAAAACTGAAATAAATTATATAAAGTAAGATTCATATTAATAGTACATATAGCATCATTTAACAACAAAATTACCCAAAAAATATTGTAGGTTTTTTTTATTAATACATACCGAACTATCTTTATTATCTTTAAGAGTATCAAATGAAGTACCATAATAATATAAATATTACGTTCAAATCATCACATCCGAGATCCTCTTTACAACTTTCCCTCAAAATATCTAAGTGTGGTGTAATAAAACTTTATGCTTACAATAAAACCTCTTTTTTTCTTTTTCAAACAGTTTACTTTCATCTTGTTCCCGAACAAATAGCTCTGTAAGTTTTCTATCACCATAAAGTATGTTACGATACATAGAAAGACTCGTAAAATATTTAACAGTTTAGCCAGGATTCAACAAAGCTCTTCGAATTGGTAGTGTTATACTGTGTTCCTCTACAAAAAGGGTGGAGAGGATAAACACAACAAAGAAAGTAGATTATACTAACGCTTTGGGCTGTTGTAGCGCTTAGAACTTAGTGGTTAGAGGTAGCGGGAGCGGATTGTATAATTAGAAAAAAAATGTCTATGGCATGGTGATTGAATTGCTGTGTTTTCACACACGACAATTCACCCCTAAAGAAGAGAAATGCAAATTAATGGCATAACACAGTTAAACGGCACGGCTGCAGCCCAGCAAATACCTTATTATTTAAAATTTTCCATTACATTGTACGTCATATAATACATTTCATGATGTCAACAAAACTTTAAGTTGACAGCTGTCATTGACGTTATGAAATATTAACGATACATTTTAAATATAATATAATATAAAAATAATATAAATCACAAGATAACATTGGGTTAAAGCCCTGCCGTGTAAAAGTGCTATGAACTTAAGAAAGTTGTTGTAATCCATTTTATAATTAAATATTCCATTTTATGCTTCAATTATTATGATTTAAACATTTTTTTATAAATCCGCTTCTGCTCACTGAAGATATGATAACATTAGTTATAATGAATGTTTGGCTGGCTAACGCTAACTCTTTTGTAAATAACGAAATTTCTTTTTGCTTGCTCACGTATGGCGAAGCAAAACGTGGTAAGTTTCACTGGTTTCGCTGTTACGTACGATCGATGGATTTCGCCCGCGCGTACAGTGTGAACCCACCTTTATTACCCTGTGTTGACTAAGTTTGCATTAGCCAAACCTGCCTGTTATATTTTTACTTAGTTACATGGAATTTTAATATTTTATATATGTGAATGTGTTAATTTAATAAAAAAAAACGTTCTACTAATGTATAATTATACAAACGAAGCCACTGATCAACAATGCACACAACAAACATGAGTCTTGGGTTCGATTCCTGACATTGACAACATAAGAAATGAATTTGGGGACGTAAAATAATTCTACATAATGTAACTTAATCTTAAAAAGCGTAGCAATATTAATACGGTAGTTTCAAATCTCTATTAAATAGCTTTTGATTAAAAAAAAACTCATTTGACTGTCTACTACGACACAAATATGGTAGTTATTCTATAATAATCTAGTGAAGTATTAATTGTAAATAACAAAATTACTTTTTATAGTGTACATGTCTTAAAAATGCGTAATAATTCAATTCTGCTCCAAATTCACCTGGCTCCATATTCGCCGGCGCAAGGGCTTGCACACTCTAACACTTTTCCTGCCATTTACCCCATCCTATCTCAAGCAATGCTTCTCTTTTCACCCCTCTCCATCCCATCATTACGATCCTCTTCCAATTTTACCCTAGAGTTTTCTCACCATAGAACTGACTTCTTCCCTTATTACCTCCCTGTGCACGCTGTCCAACTGTGGAACTCTCTGCCACAAACCATCAGGAAAGCTCGCTCGCTGAAATCATTTTGCGATCAAGTTAAAAACCATTTCCTTTCCAGGTCTTGAATATTTATCATAATTTTTATTCAATATATCTATTATACTTCCTTTATATTCGTTATTTAAGATATATCTGTTCTTTCTTTTACATGTTGCACCCATTCCTCCATATTACTTTAATTATTTATTTATTTTCCTCCATATCCATCCATTTCGTTGCCTTGAAGATGTTGCTATGTAATAGTAAGCAATAAGGCCTCCTTTTTGTATACTGTTTTTTTCTCATGCTGTGTAATTTGTTATTTGTCTTGTGTGTGCAATAAAGTAGGTATATTATTATTATAATAGATGGTATCCATTTATGAAAAATACTTGCATTTATAAAATAATTATTTATTAGATTAGTCATAGCATTGAATAAGTCCATTGCATGAACTGTATAACAATGCACTTTTCACACCCAGTTAGTGCACATCCAAACGCAAATACCAATAAATCCGGCAAACTCTAGACATGTGTCGCTCCTACATACTACTATAGACGTATATACGATTTTCGCTCGTACATACTTCTTAGTGTTTTGCCTATGAATACGACTTTACGCTGTTTCCCACCTACATACATCTTCACGTTTAGCCTATGCATACGACGTTACACTCATTCACCCCTACATACTACTCCACGTTTCGCCTATGCATACGACGTTACATTCATTCGCCACTACATACTACTCCACGTTTCGCCTATGCATACGACGTTATACTGATTCGCCCCTACATAATATTCCATGTTACACCTATGCATACGATGTTACACTGATTCGCTCCTACATACTAATCCACGTTTCTCCTATGCATACGACGTTACACTGATTCACCCCTATATACTATTCCATGTTACGCCCATGCATACGACGTTACACTGATTCGCCCCTACATACTATTCCATGTTACGCCTATGCATAGGACGTTACACTGATTCGCCCCTACATACTATTCCACGTTTCGCCTATGCACACGACTCTAAATTTTATTACACACATCCATCGTGGTTAACATGAGCACTAACTGGATGTGGTTGTTGTAAAATATAGTAATATTACAGTAATTTTAAAAGCATTTAATCGATTATCCAATAGGGATAATGTAAGAGGCTGTCAAATACGCATTTTGTCGTTGCTCATAATTGTAGGTAGTTTGCACTGCATGAATTCTGTAATCCCGAGCTTATGGATTTGATTTTATTTTGTTAGTTTAGTTAGTTAATTGTTTACTGTTTGTCTAACTCGTCGCAACTGATAATTGTTTGAGAATTGATGTCACTGAAGTAGATATAGCAAAAAATTAACATCTGTGGATAAAATATGTACAATAGTGCATTCATAAGAAAGATTAACGTGAGTATAATCATTAATAAATACTTTACTTGGAAAAATAACATAGATAAATTTCACGTCATCATTAACCCCTTTTTCCGAATTTATCTCTTGTCATTCTGGGTCTTATTAATTAAGAAATTTTGAAAGACGGTTAATTTTACATCGAAAAATTAATAATATATTTATCAAAGCTAATCATAAGCTGCAAATTCCGTATATATTTGTTTATTTAAAAATATGAATTCAATATTGCTATGTCAAGTCTTAAAAATATTGATACAGTTTGACTTAGGTCAATCCAAACATACTTATTGATTTACAAATTCCACTTAATGTTTTATATACTCGTACATTTATTTAATAAAAAGGTAAGTTCACCTATGGATTTACTTTCTAGTCCTTTTTCGTATAAGCTTGACCACAAATGGCCGCCCATTTATTAGTAAGCAACACACGCAACATTGATTGAAAATACGGATTTCGTGCATAGAAAGTAGATCCCAGTTTGCATTATGAGCTTACGTTTTATTTATAGAATAAGTGATCGAATGAATTCAGTCTGAGTTTGTTCCAATATATTAAAACTAGCTGTTACATGCGGCTTCACCATCCAGGTCAAAAGTAAATAACTATAATTTTTATATATCTTATTTTTGACATCTTTCTCAATAGGGTATATTTTTAAATACCAATGAAATGCTTTTTTAATTCTTTTAAATCCTAAAAAGTTTAAGATAAGCTCGTTTGTTACTAAAAATTATATTATATTTATATTTTAAAGAAAACCTGAATTCAAAATTTTGTTTTTTTCTTTGGAAAAATATTTTTCATTCATAATTTTAAGATTTAAACAGCAATTTTGTTTCAGATGACGAGTTCGGTGAGAAATCTGTATCTGTACTACTCGACGGGGAGGAATCTGAACTTATATTCATAGACCATCCCAGTACTGAAATGTCGGTAAGTGTAATATAAAAACTATTTGATAACTTAATAATAAGCAAGGCCATGGCTGCTTTCCTTACAATCTCTAAAAGGTCGCGTTATTCTTCTATTTCAACAAAGAAATTGAGTCAATTTCTTATTAATTTTGTTAGGTGAAGGTCACTATGCGGGTGGTAGAGTGCACAACGTTGTCGTATGTTTGTTTAATAAAATGATAAAGTACATACTAGTTGCTAAGTGTAATGTCTTGCACACAGTAGGATGTCTCTAGAAATTGAGCACTTAAGAAACAGCAGTGCTAATTTAATAGGCTTTCATAGTTTCACATGCTCACTCACACGCATCACACTTAACAACTCATAAAAGATTGAGACTCATACTCAAATTTACAGGACAGTAATTTCAAGATTTTCTCACAAAAATAACTTTTTTATATAATTATTTCAGATGTTTATTAAAGTAAAATAAGTTTTGAACGAATATAGATTTTCTTTCGTTTACCATTTCGATAAAAAAAAAATAAAGTCATTGCGATCCGATTATTAAATATATAACGATAAGAATGTGTTGTCCTACATTTGAACATGTTTGTAAAGCATGATTAGAAAACTGACATACAAAAATTCCATTTAATTTTTTGGCTCTTCTATGATTTAGTCAGTCTCTCTATAGACAATACTGTTTATGATGTTTATATTTCAAGTCCACTAACTCCGCTAATAGAGAGCTTTGTACAAGTACAAGAAGAAAAAAAATAGGAAATGAAACAAAAAATAAATACAGAATAAGGGAATAAACATATTTTTTAAATCCTTGAGCAACTTTGGCAATAGCTAAGCTTACTACAAGACAACTTTTGTCAATAGTCTTATAGTATTATGCATAGGAATCCATTAAATAACCTCTTTTTAAAAACCAGTTAAAAACAAAATTAAAAAGTTTTAATCCTTGTAATTTTGTTTAGACAATTTAACCATTCAAATTGTTATAAAACTTTTTGGAATAATTTCATTCTTCGACGCCCTAGCTGTACCTCTACATAACAACTTTGATCGTTTCTTTGAATGTTTTTCGTGTCTTTCTTTAATTTGCATAATCACGTTCAATAGGGATTAGAACTAAGAGACAATGTTATTTATAAGAAGCTAAGGAGAGTGATTATTCTTTTTTAATAAGAATGGATGATAATTAATATGGGTTAAAATATGAAATTGCCGATTTGTACTGAAATACTAATTGCTTATTTTTTTAATTTTAACAAATTTATGTATTCAAAATAGTAATCATTATTATCTATACATTGCTAATTTATGCCTTTGTGATAGAACTCTGAGGATCAAGACTGCACAAACTGTGTGAAATAATTTGCCTCCTTGGAATAAAACTTCTTGTCACGTAGATAATTGTCCAAATAACGAAAAAAATGGTAATCCGTTGGAGCAAGGTCTGGCAACGGAGGATGACGAATGGTTTCTAACTGCAGTTCTTGAAGGGTTGTCATGTTTCTCGCGTTGTCATGGAGCAATAATGGTGAAGATCGATTCATGAGTCGGGGCTGTTTTACTGCTAGTTTTGCCAACATTGTTCGGAGTTCAGCACAATAGACATCTGCCGTTATTGCATGACCAGATCGGAGAAAACTGTAGTGAATAACACTATGCTGAGACCACCAAGCAGTTACCATTACCTTTTTATTGGTAAGTTTTGCTTTAAGACAGTTTGTGGCGTTTGACCTGGGGTCAGCTATTGCATTTTTCTTTTACGCTTATCATAAAGAATCCACTTTTCATCACATGTCATAATTCGATCCAATATTCCTTCATTTTTGTAACGATTCAACACGGCAACACAAGTTTTAACACGCGTTTCTTTCTGCAGATCAGTCAAATCATGAGGCACCCATTTTTCGTTTTTTTTTTTATTTTATTCATTTGACGCAAATGAGTCAATATTGTGGGTAAGGTAATGTTAAACCATGCCGCTAATTCCTGGGTAGTTTGACTAGGATCGGCTTCCACCATCTCTCTTAATTCATCGTTATTCACTTGTATGGGCGGTCTTCTTCGTGACTCGTTCTTCAAGTCGAAATTTCCGTCACGAAAGCATTAAACCAAAATCGCACGGTGCGTTCATTAGCAAACCCCTCTCCAAACGCAACATTGATATTGCGGGCTGTTTCTGCCGCGTTACTTCCGCGTCGGAACTCGTATTCAAAAATCACTCGAATTTTCGAAGTATCTATCTTTCTTGTCTAAGTTGAATAACAAAAACAATTGAAAGTCGACATTCACATTTATTAAAAGAAGAACATCATAGAAACCATGGCAAAAAAGTTTCTTTCGAAAACCACAAACCATGAAGATTCTATGTCAATTCAAGGAACCTATTACAATAAAACGGCAATTTTATACTTTGACCCCTAATATTAAAATCACTTTGTTACCGAGAGAATTATGCATTATATTTACAATAATAGTTTTCAAGATATGAATTAAAACAGTTTTTGCTGCGTCATTCTCTGTGTCTTTCTATCTGGTTGTCGAGCGAGATAATGGACAGAGACAATCTTTTGGTTTTACATGCTCTCTTAAGCTAGATATATTCCACAGGTTGAGAACTGCCTTTCAACCTATGAGCCTCATGCCTGCCTGGTGGTATACTCAGTGGTAGCGCGAGGCTCTTTCATCAGGGCAGGAGAGCTGCTATCCTACTTGGCCAGGGAGCAGTTCACGGCCGATAGGACTGTGGTGTTGGTTGGGAACAAAGCTGATTTGGCCAGGGCTAGACAAGTCACTACTAACGGTTAATGATTTAAATTTTAATTACTTTTTTGTTTTTAATAGTTCTGGTATAGTACCCAGTCTACTAGCAATATGAATAGGAAAGGTTGTGAGAATGTGTCTGATAAAGAGATACAACGAATATGCGTTTGGTATTCGGTATTCGGCATCTTTTTCACTATTTGTATTTAGCTGAATTATTCGGTTTGAGTATTTCTATTTTCTTGGCTATATGACACGGTATGGTCTAAAAGACAAAACTTATCATGTAAAATATGTAATAATATATTATAATGTAAAATAATAATATATATGTTATATTAAAAGACGTGTTTAATAAAGCTAAGTAAAAAAAAAATCAAATCAACATTTGTTTTTAAACCGGCAAAACAATGAAATCGTAAACCGAATAATTTGACCGAATATCCGGGTTGGTATAGATTAAACCGAATAGTATTCGGTATTCAGTTATTCAGTGTACTCGGCGCAACTCTAATTTGTTACTGTTTCACGCAACAACTACTTGATATATTCCCTATTTTGCGTATTCGATGCCATTCATAGGGAAAACATTTGGCTTACTAGTGGGAACAATAATAGGCGTATGATGATGATATCGATAAAAAACAAATTGGTATAGGGTTTACATAGTTATCGGCTATTACTTTTGGTTTTATGTTTATAGTGTCAAAAAAGTTCATTGGTCTGCTGATGGAGGAGGTTATATGAATATATTTTTCTCATACAGAAGGCAAGGCGTTGGCTACAACAAAAGACTCCAAGTTTATAGAGACATCATCAGGCATTCAGCATAATGTGGACGAGCTTCTCGTAGGAATCCTGAAACAGATACGGCTCAAAGAAAACCGGGAGAAGAAGCAAGCGAAGAAAGTCGGAAAACAGGTTTATAATTTCTTATTTATATTTCAGTACGTGCCAACTAATGTGGCACACGTGTATTTTCACTTGCGCAGAGTATAGATTTTACATTCAGATTTTAATATGCCTTACAATTCTGACGATGGCCGAGCTTACTATTGCAATGTGTAATTAATCTTGTTTCAATCACCATAGGATCTAAAATTCAACGCATCAGGTGTCCTATTCACTAACCGCACGTTCCGATTAGCCGAGCGAATCGCCCAATGGCGCGCTTCTTGAATCCTTCTGATTGGTCGACATTTGCCGAAATGTATGAATGCAATATTCATCGTCAATATACATAATGATAATTAGCTGTTTTCCCACCACTTCACTCGCGAAATTTAAAGCCTGTGTCACCCACGTATGATGTAGTTTCCTGTAGGTGAAGAATTTTCATGACCGGATCAGTATTTTCGAAAATCACTCCCTACAATTAAACCAAGATAGATACATTTTAATACTAATATAGAAGGAACCTCTCAATGAGAAGATATTAATTTTGAGAGATATTATAAAAACTTCATAAATCCAAAGTATATGTCATATGCCAATCGTCGAATTGGGCCGATCAACATCTGCCCGGGCGTATCACGATATGCTGCCTTTTCTTTATTTGGACATCTATCATCTGTCATATCTTTCAATGCTTAACTTTGACGATTTGCCCGACTGTACTTAGGCCAATCGATTTTATAGGGTGATCAAAGTCCTATGTAAGCAGAGATGGGCAATAACCCGGGTTTTCTTCTGCCGTCCATTACTATATGTAAGTCCATTCTATATTATTGTTACTTATTTTATTTATTGGTGTTTTTGTACAGTAAAGAATTATTCTATTCTAGGTAAGCAAATAACATAAAGTTAAAATATTTTTTTTTACTGTATTTACTGAAAAGTGTTTAGAGTTCATTATCTCAAATTTAAGTATGACTAACGTTTTTGCCAGTAGGTAGTAGTACTCACTGTCATTATTTTTAATATTTATTTATCCATCAAACTTTATTGACCAGGAAACAATACCATTTGTTTATTGTTTCCGTAATAAGCGGACTTAATACTAATAAAATTTTCTATTAGTATCTGTTTGTGGAAACAAATAAACATGATGGCGGTAAAATGATGGATAAAGCTAAACTTAACTACAAATAAATAATATCACAGTTTTCGTTTACTTGTGTCGTTGCCATCTTTCTCACACGTAAATATACAGGGAATAGCGCTACAGCGCCACCAGTGACGCAAAACGGAATTATACTACATAAGTATGATGCACCTAGCCATATCGCGATGTGCCCAAGTGATTAGTTGGGCAAATCGACAAATACTTTGTTCTCGTCGATCTTACAAACTTTTAACCGAGCTTGCTTTTCCTGGCCATATCAAGAAATGGCGGTATGTCATAATATGCCCGGGCAGACCGCGATCGGTTCAATTCAACGATTAGCCCCCGACGTATCCAGGACTATATTGCAGGTGGTGAAATCAATTCACTGAATCAGTGTTAAAATGGAAACTAAAAGGAAAATATCCAGTTGAAGTAACTAATGAAACAAACAAAAAATATCAATCTTGCCTAGTGGCTACTCATTTATCAGACGTTGAGTCGAACCAACCAATCTTGGTATCGACAGTTGTATCGAGGTGACGCGAATTAAGATTCGGCTCGGCCAGATTGCGTTACGATTACTACGTGGCTGAATTACATAAGATAAAAACTATAATTAACTAGTATAGTTTTTTATCTTATGTAATCTATACTCAAAATAAATACTAAACTGAGAACATAATCAGAGTTGGTAAAATCCACAAATCCACCAGAACAGTAATTTCATAGCCTAGGGAATTCCCTAGGCTATGAAATAACTCCTGATATGGTAAATCAGCTATTCTGTGGAAATAATATAATAATGAATACCAAACATAATAAAATAATAATAAAAACGCCTCAAACTTCTGTTTCTTGGTGTTTATCATGTGTTTCTTAGTGTGGTGCTTTGAGCAAAAATTTAATATTGATATCTTGGGCGTACCTAGAAGGCTCGTTTTTTTCAAGCAAGCCAATTTAATAATATGAATTAATAAAATCAATATAATGAATGAATGAAAACACACAACAATATGCTCAACATTCGAATTATAATAGTGTCCTATGACTGCACCAAACAGGTATCTATCTAGCTTGACATTTATTGATCTTATTATTGTTATAGTAATATTCTGACGCCGATTTTCGGCTAGACCCTATGAAGTCTATGCTAGACTATGCTAGACTCGGGCTCAGGAGGATCGTGAACGCATTAAGGTTTAGGTATGGAAACCCGGTCACTATCAAGAATTACAAATCACCATACAAATTTTTAACGCGCTCACTAGTTAACGCATCGTCATCATCAGGTTTACAAATATTCAAAATTATTCAAATATCAGACTTCAGGTTATAGTACAATGGTAAACATTAGCAAAATCGGCCTGCTGTATGTTGAATCCGCTGCTCACACGGCGCACGTAGATGTCATCGACCTGTGTAAATTCGCCATAATACGAAAGCTTTATACTCATCTTGGAATTAGTGATGCGACTCGAGTAGGATTTTGTGACTCGAGTCACTCGAGCCAATTAACTACTTCCCTCGAGTCATATTCGAGTGACTCGAGTAAAAAAAATTCAAACGTGCTACTCGTGTGAGAAATACATACATAATATAAATAAAATATACATTAACAGAGTTTTGTCATATTATTTATTCAAATAATAAAGAAAATAAAAAATAAGCGGCATAGATTAATAGAGTAGCGAAGTGATATCTAGTGCCAAGAGAATCAACTCGTCTTGCCAAGATGACTCGATAACTCGAGCGCATAGAGACTCGAGTGATATTTTTTACTCGAGTACGAGTTTGAAAAATTCAGTCGAGTGACTCGAGTAAAAATAGGATTCGAGTAGCATCACTACATGGAATCTGAGTAATGTCTATGATGTTGTCTAATATTGACCTATTTACTAAATCTACAAGATCTCCAGGAATTGACATGGATTAAAAGTATTTATTCTATAAATAAAGAATCTTTCAATTTCGCATCAGTGAGTCAAGGTCTGTTGCAGTTTCATTTATCTTTTATAATATGCCAGTCTAATTCTTATGAGATCAATAGTATAACAAATTGTTATATTTTCATATATTATGATAATTCATAAATATAATTTGTTATAATAATTATGAGTCAAAATCTAATTATCCACATTTCCGGGATATGGTATCAAAACGGCGAAAAGATAATACGGTTTACCTTAATTATTATACGCCCGAAATGGACAGCTGTTAACATTTATCTGATATGTCACATTTACCAGTAGGTACACGATACGAAAATAAAATAAGAAACGACAACATAGAAACTGCTCTACTGTACCTATACTAAGGTTTGCATTGAATAGACTATGACCAGTCAACCGATTTTAAAAATTCTTTTACCTACGGGAAGCTATATCATAGACGAGTGACAGAGGTTATTACACATATTTTTTTTTGCGTACGAAGCCGCGGGAAAACAGCTAGCAATAAAAACACACATGACACTGATCTTCGCGGGGCAGGGTAATAAAATAGTTTAAGAGTACAGTGAATTAAACAGCAGTGTAAAAAAACGTTTTTCATCCATTATTCGTAAACCATAACATTAGTGTTAAGTGTTGCATACGTACCCTCGGCTACAATCTGAACCACATATTTCTTCTTTGGAAATTTAGGGGTGATGAATTTTACGGGCGATTTGTTCTCTAAAGCAAATTTCATAAATTTCTTAAATACTTTTGTGTACGTTTGTAACAATAGCGATATCGGATGATGCTTAATTAATATTTACTCTGTAAAAATTCTTATCTTACTTATCATCGGTTTTTAAGTAAATATTTTAAGTATTAATAACTATGTAAATTTTTCAAGTAGGTATACTAATAACAATTATTGGTTCACTTATAATTATATCAAAGTGTGAACTTTGACTTACACACCTTAATTTCCAATTTTTAACTTATCTGTTACCTAAATATTTGAAATATTATCTTCAATATCTGTTGTTAAAGTTTCAACTTAATTTCCTCTTTCAACAGGAAACAAAACCGTCGAAACTGGCCAGTTCCCGGACTCATATCTCATTGAGCATCGCTAGAGAATTGCTTCAGAAGATATGTATAAATGACATCTCCAAATCTAAGTCGTGTGAAAATCTCCACGTCCTCTAATTTTCTGAGCTCCTGGTAAGAAATATGTCTAACATATACAAATAATAGGTTGGGGAAAAAGTCTCTTAGCATTTTATATGAAAATTCAAAACATTTTTTTAAAAGTTTGTATACATTTAACTAATGTAGGTACCGTTTTGTTCGATAACTTTTTGCCATCTTGTAGTAGGGACATGATCTCATTGCTACAGAAATTTTGGGGCTTCTGATCAAAAAACCGCGACAAGTGGTTTTGGCAGTCCGCGTGGAATGTTAACCTGAGACTGCTTAAAGAATTCTGAAGAGACCCAATCAGGTGGAAACCAGAAGGTGCAAGGTCAGAACTATACGACGGATGCATTAGCATTTACCAGCCAAACTCGCCTAATTTTTGCTGAAAGGCAAAAAATGTGTCAGATCTAGCGTTATCATAATGAAAACTACACCCCTTCTATTGTTTAATTCAGGCCGTTTAAACTTCTTGCTTAAATTCGATGGGACTGCTTGGCAGTAACAGTTCATAATGAAAAATGCCTTTCCAAATTTCATCTCACACACATCATACTGTTGCGAGTTAACCCAGGTTTCGCCACATTGCATTACACCTTAATAAAGAATCACAAATAAGAATGAGTTCATTAAATTTCTTTCAGTGAGCTCGTGAAGTACCCAAATATCTAACTTTTTTGTGTACCCAGCTTTTTTAAATGCACCAATACTGTTTTGTGGTCAATCCCCAGTACTTCAACTATGTCGAAACTACTAATATCCTTATACTAGTAGTTACGACATAGTTGAAAAATAATAGGACCACTGGAGCGATGTGTATTTTTGACATCATAATTTCCGGACTGAAAACGTTTAAACCAAATTTGTACTACTCTCAAAGAAACTAAACTAGGTCCATGAACTTCACAATTTTTTTTCGCGGCTTACGTTGAATTTTTACCTTTTTTATAAAATTTTATAGGGTATGTTCCGATATACACTGCGAGCACTGCGCAGTGGTCTTACTGCTGAAAAATCCGTTCCGTTATGGACTGCCAGTACACTGCTACAGTACCTTAGGGAAATTTATGACGTCATAAATTGCCGCCATATTTGTACTGTGAGCACTGGAGATTTCGAGGTAAGGTGCTCGCAGTGCTTTTGATCACGTGATCAGTCGAAACAGAATCAGAAAATGATAACTTTCTAAATAAACAAAAAAAATACTTACGTTTATATATAAGATGGATTTAATTGATAAATAATTTTTTTTATACAATTTTCCAATTTTCTTTTGAAAAGAGGGAATCTTTATATTTATATTCACCTTGCATTAACAAATTTGAAAATGGCGCCAAAAAATAGGATTAGCAGTATACTGGACTGCGTTTTGTTTTAAAAAGTCACCAGTATAACTAGCTATAAAGGAACGGGCTTCCAGTATACTAAACTGACGTCATACTGCTCAGTGGTCGCAGTGTATATCGGAACATACCCAAAATATATCGAATTTCACTTCACTCATTTTGACAGTAAGGGAACAAATGAAAATCACACTTTTTCCTAATTCGAATTCAGAGTTATACTTCTCTAAAATTTAAACTTTTAAATGATACCGAAATCAGCCAGATACAAATGGTAAAGCTAGAATGATTTTATTACAAGTTTATGCATACTATTTGCGAAAAGACTTTTTCCCCAACCTAATATATAATCAAAAAACAACTACTATTTAAATAGTGTATTGTTTTTTATTGTAATTTAAATTACGTTAGTAATTATGAACTGTTTTCTAAACTTTAGAATTGATGTTGTGGGGAAAATATTTAATTTTGTTCTTAAGATGTTTCCTTTTTAAGGCCAAGTTGTAGTGAAATGCTCGCATTGGAAGCATTTATGTGGAAGAAAAAAAAATGTATTTGTGAAAAAAAAAACTTATAATGAACTTTGTGAGACCTAAATCATATGAAAAAATATTTTATATCGAACCAATTAATCGAATCCACATATAATTAATGTTCAAAATAGACATTTACTACAATTTCGCTTTAAGAAAGCCAATATTTTTTTACTATAGAGTTTGTTATACTTGTACTTTTATAAGATTACAAATGATTTTATCTTAACCATATTTTATTACTGTCCATAAAATATACACATAAGGCAACATTGAAGATTCTCTGTCAAAACAATTACTTATCTATAACTTAGAGTATCGAAAGTGGAAAACCGTATTATCATTATTCAAACGCAATCAAGTTGAATAGATAATGAATTCTTCCTGTAAAACTTCCAGTAATCAATCAAATTATTTTATTAGTTATCTCGGAAAAAAAGAATTCTTCTTTTTTCTCTTGTACAGCAAACGGTGTTATAACGAAAACTTGGCTCAACCTCGGGCTTAATGGCTCAATTTCACGGTTACTTTTTTTTATTATTAGAAATTATGTTTAATTCTGTCCTCGTAATTTTTAATTACGCATTAACTTTTAAGTTTGCTTAATATACTTATGTTTTGATAAAATTTGCGTTCATTGTGACATATATATAAAATACTTTGAAAATTCGCCAATATAAGGTGCCCAAGATTTATATACTTCGACCGCTGCGAAATAAATAAGGCGAAGACAAGTTTTGTTTACCAACTTAATAATATTTTGCTTGTTTTTAATAAGTGATTTGAGTACTCACAAATGACAATCCTTTCATAGAATATCGATGTGATATCGATACTTTTACCCGCTTCTGATATTAAGCTCTTTGCATCGATAACATATGGTATCGATTCATCCCTAATCATCACCAGTGCAGCGGGCCCTGCCTGTTGCTTATACTGAATCGAGTCCGGTGTTGGCATCACATTTCTTTATCCACAATATTGTTGTTGTGTGTGTTATATTATTTCGAAAATAAATAATTTTTCTTTCTTTCTTCTTTCTTATTATTACTTTCGTAGAGGGCGTTCTCGTTTGTGAAAGATTAGGTGTACGACTTCCGTATTGGGCATCTTTTTTAAGTACCTATTTTTCTTTATAACATCTGCATTTTTATCCAAATAATAATTAGCTACGTGTTTTCTATTTATAAACGATTAATTTAATTGCACATTCCTTTTTAAGTTTATTAAACTTTTTGTAAAATGGTATCATTAATAAGTCAGAGGGAGATCTTTGAAAAAGTCAAGCACATTTAATAATTAAGTAATAAGAGCGTGGTTACATTTGAGTAGAACAATACCACCAAATTTTATAAGTTGCTTTGGTAAATATCTTTTGCGCAGAAGAGAGCCTATGAAATTGGTACTTATAAGTTTATATTTGGTAATAGCGATATACATGAAGTGGACATATCAGCCAATAGCAAACGGCACGGCCACATAAATGTTATGATGGGCTTTTATTTCACGTCTTTCAATAAGTCAAATTTATATTATGAAATTAGTATCATGCAGGTTGGATCGAAACTAATTTCTACAGGCGTGTGTAAGTACAAACTGGTTACGTTATTGCGTGAAATCAATAGTTTCTCTGAAGCGCTGGCTCCTTCAACATTGTACGAGTAGCTTTACTATGCGCAGATGGTATCGCGGCATTAGTTTAGCCATGTAAATAATGCTCGTAATCCAGTATCCAGTATCACGCAAATAGTTGCGTGATACTGGATACTTTACGACACGAAACTAATTAATGATGCATTGTGAGACTGGACGTTTACATGTGAAATTATTGCAAATGCAATAAAAAAATGTAAATAATGTAAATTTGGCTTAATGAAACTTCTGCGTAGAAATCACTTTAACTGAAATATGGTTTTATTTGTAATTTAATTTATATTATTTCTTATAATTAGCTTAAAATTTAATGTAAGTAGGTTCTAAAAATATTTTTATTGTTATAATCGTAATAATATATATAGGTCTCTTCTATGAAAAGCTCTTAAACGTTGACATAGAATAATAATATAAATAAATGTCAGTATTAAGTTATATTAAAATAAAAATACGCTTGGTTAGATTATAAACAGATAAAGTATACCTTTAATGTCGTATAACTAACTTATACTATTATTAAAATGTACTGATTATATTTTTCTAACGAAAAAACTTTCTACGACTTTTTACATGTTGTTTCTTATATTCTGAGTGCGTCATTGGAATTTTTAAAATTATTCTAGTAACGATATAAACCACCAAAACCAATTTTTCCTGCATATGATTAAAAGTATTTTCTGTGTTCAATGGTAATATCTGGTATGGTAGTGTATAATACCTCTGGTATGGTATTGTATAAACCTCTTTTTGACTTCCATTGGCGCATTCGTGAATACTTTAGATCTCTATGCGAGAATAATTTTATCTTTCAAATCCTTTAAGTGTTATTAAATAAGTGTGTGTTAATCGTAGATTCTCTACTTTTACTTAACTGTTGAGAGAGAACTATTAAATTTTAGATAGGAACAAAGGTTTTAGGGTCTGTGCAAACTTGAAATGAAATATAAACCCTACTTTTATATGAATAATCGCCCTACCTATTATAATTGTTGTAATTTTTATTTAAGAATATCGTACACTTTCTAATCAAAATAGAATTATTTGTTTAATAATATTATCATTTGATTATTATATAAAGAGGAAAGATCTGATTGTTATTTTATTTGTTTATTTGCATGGATTACACTCCGAAACTACTGATGCGATTTAAAAAAATCTTTCACCTACTGGAAGCTTATACCTGTATCATATAAGCTAATATATAGGCGAAAGTCGCGGGAAAATAGGCATTTGTAAAGACATGGTACAACACAAATATTATATTTAAAAGAAGCAGAGTGGAACTGTAAATGAAAATTGTTTAAATTTAATGTAAAATAATAATGGTCTTTCTAATACACGACGACGGAAGATTTTTTTAGTACACGTTCATTAAATCTAAATTAAATTTTCTTAGCACAGCCAATAGTTCATCGAGTTACAGAAATTCCTCAAATTTCTCCAATTAGTATAGAAAATATATTGAAATATTTTCTAATTACCTGTGATGTATCCTACGCCGTTATAAGATTTTTGAGTAGAAAATATCTGTTATTCAATTAAATATTGGGCTAATATAATTCGGTTTATATGCTTCATAATATTTAATAACCATCTACAAGATATTATGAATAATATAAAATCAACTCTCTGGCGATTGCTTCGAGTTTATTATAACGAACTCAGTTGAAAATTATAAAAGCCAAAGCAAAAAAAAAAACATCAATTTAAAAATCGAATTGAATTGAAAAAGTAATATATTTTTCTTATAAATCACCAAAGATTCAAAAAAATGTTTAATATGAATTGATTATTAAATAAGAAATTCGATGTATGTAATTATAAATTTTGCTCAGACCCTAATTACCCCTAAAGGGGAGAACGAGCTTTAAAAGTATTTAAAAAGGTGCGTATTCTATTAAAGGACTATGGGAGTGTATATTGTTCGTTTGGGTACGCTTTGGTCATTTGCTCTATAAGGACGTGTACCCACATAGTGAGGTTGCTTCGTGAGGTGTTGGTTCGCGAACACTCTCATGATATGGATACATGCTTTAACAATTTATGTTTTTGCATTAAGACCAGAGTTCAAAATGTGTAACTTGACGTGTTGCTGTATGTACTTTAATAACAGCATAACAAGTCTTTATTCTCTTAGTGATTACGATCTTGATTATGGTATATAAATTCGTGGAAAATGTTGGCATATTCGCACGAATGCATTTCATTGCATGAAAGCAAGAGATTCCGGTAGGTTAATTTCATTGGTCGATAAACTAATATCCGACCAATGAGAATAAGCCAGAGAAATCTCTATCAAAAATTACAACAAGCCTTTAAACTCATATATGGTTTTACTTTAGTGTCATCATTATAGTATCTAACAATAATGCGATTATCTATATTCACTTAAATAAAAAACGTCACACGAAAGCACAATATGATTGTTAAGATCTATAAACAATCTTCAGTATTAGCAGCATAGTTAACGTATTGATAATATCTATATCTAACACAAAAAAAACTAATATAACAAACATATAAATCTAAACAACTCGATAAAGTGTCTCAATGTGACTCTTCCAGATGTGAGTTAGATAGTTGTGATAAAATGATTTTAAGTTTTGGGTTTATTAGAGTAAGAATGACAAGTAAAACTATTACTGAGTACACATCATTACAGGCATTACCGGGTCGGTGCATATCTGATGGAATTGCCTAGCATCTTATTGGTCGAAGGTATATAAAAAGAGAATTTTAACTCGAATTTAAGTTACGAAATTAGTGTGATGCATCGTGAAACAAGTTTCACGAAACTAATTTCGGT